TGAAATATTTTGGGAAAATATATATTAAATATAAATATTTAATATATAAATATATAAAGCCAAATTTTGTCAATCTTTTAGGTTGTTTGGAATTTTAATATACCCTATAGCCAAGTAAATTTCACTTAAAAATTAAATTCTAATATAGCACAAAACCTTAAATGAATTCATAGCCATCATTATAGTTCTAATTGCATGCTTTATTTGAAGACGGGAGAAGATTGTGCTAAATTATATGGAACAACTAGTGTTCACTATTTAGGCTACCCATTAACTGCCAGTCAAAGTAATAACAGCAATCTCTTCCCTAATTTTCCTGGTGCAGCTGTTTACAGAATATCCTGGGCGTGTTCATTTCAATAGATACATAGTAATGCAGACATCCACAAGTGAAAGCTGTATTTTTTTGTTTTCAAATTTTCTTATAGACTATAATGTTTTTTCTACCTTGCATATTCAATCATGTCCTGTAACTGCTTTAAAATAATCAGCAAATAAATTAAATTGCTATACTGTGGTTTTAAATTTAAAATCTATACTCTGAAGCTCAAATTCTAAGAAAACAAGCAAAAAATTTTTAAGACACAGACGAAAGCCGCCCAAACAAAAACCCTTTCTTCTTTTTTAAAGGACAAAATTAAAAAGCTCCAGCAGAGATTGGTCACATCTTTACTTGTGGTTCACCAAAGAATGCTTATGTTATATACACTTACTTTTCTGTAACGATCTTTGAAAATTAACCAGAATATAGTCATGCATCGTTGAACAACAAGAATAAGCTCTAACACGTCATGAGGCAATTTCCTCAATGGGCAAACACAACGTCCAGTACTTACATAAACCTAGATGGGATAACCTACTATACACGGAGGCTACATGGTGGAGCCTATGGCTCCCTAGGCTACAAAACTATATAGCATGTTACTGTTTGGAACATAATGATAAGTATTTGCATATTTAAACATATGTAAATACAGAAAAGGTACAATAAAAAATGGTACACTTGTATAGGGCGTTTACCATGAATGAAGTTGTTCTGTGTGACTCAGGGAGCAAATGAAAGCCTAGAATATTAGTGTATATTACTGTGCACTTTGTAATCACTATACACTTAAACTAAATGAATTTTTAAAAATTGTTTTCAATAGTAAATTAAGTTTAGTTCACTTTAACTTTATTTTATAAACATTTTAATTTTTTAAAACTTTTTAATTCTTATACTAACATTTAGCTTAAAATATAAACACACTGTACAGCTATACAAAAATATTTTCTTTCTTTATATCCTTATTTTATCAGGTTGTTTTCTGTTTCTAAAATTGATCTTTTTTTTTAACTTTAAAAATTTTTTTGTTGAAAACTAAGACACAAACACACAATTAGCCTAGGCCTACACAAGAAATCAAGATGTCATTAGAATGCAGGAATTTCTCCGCTCCATCATCACCTCATGACCACCACTGTACTTGTGTACTGAAACATCATTATGCTGCATGGCTATATTTACCTTTCCTAGGTACATGACTCAGGCACATCAATTACTCAATGCAGAAGATACACACACAGATTTATTTTTTTGTAGTACTGAATGTCAACAGTTTTGTTTTTTTAAAATATTAAGCTTTTAAAAGCTAAACATCGATCTTCATCAGTGGTTTCCAGTAATTTGGATTTTAAGGAATGTAAAAATAAAAAAAAACTTGGAGATTCCCAGTTTGCTGAGGAAGAAAATAATTTTGTTCTAATAAATAAAAGAAAATAATTTTGTACTGTAAAAAAGGAAGAGAATAATTTTATTTTAATAAATAAAAGAAAACAATTTTGTACCGTAAAAAAGAAAGGATTTCTGTTTGGGGGGGCTTTTGTCTTTGTCTTAAAATTTTTTTGGTTTGTTTTCTTGGAATTTGAGCTTCAGAGTATAGATTTTAAATTTAAAACCACTAGGAAGATAGGAAGAACATAAATCCAGAATAAAGGGCATCCTTTATATCAGTAAAATTTAACATTAAGAAACCATTATGCCAGTCTCCTTATTTTTCTCATTTTGACATACACTAGTGAAAACATTGACACAGACTAAAATTGGAAAGCCACTGATTTATATTCCCTAAGCCTAAAAATATTGTTTAGGTCACATTTGGGACCATATAGATTCAATGAACCTTGAAAAATCAGCAACTTACAGTTCCTGCCTGAGCCTTCTTATCTTGGCTTTAGCATCTGCCAGTTCCACTGACAGATGTTGTCGACTTTCCGTTCGCTTCATGCCTGGAGAACCACAGGGTGACTGTGCCGATGAAGAGGCATGGGGTAGAAAATGGAGACCATCCCGCTCTTCAGAAAGCTCTATGATAGTCTAAGAAATTATAGAAATAAACCCAGACTCAATTTCAGTATTCTACATATCAGCAAAATAAACACATCAATACTATTTACTGAGTCTAACTGTACTACATACCAAAAACAATTCACTGGTCAAAAACATTTTAACTTATTTAACATATTTAACTGCCATTTTTAAAAGTTTCATTCAACAGTCATGCATATACTATTTGGTAGATAACACTAGAACAAGACTTAATACTTTTTCCCATCCTAGTTTTTAACAAAAGAAATCATTTATGATAAAATAACTAGATTACATGACAAATGTTAGGAAGTCATAAAAGATTCATTGACAAAAGAAATAAATTAACCCAGAGTGATTTGTCTAAAACTGTGCCATCCAATATGATAGCCAGTAGCACAAGTAGCCAGTTAATTAAAAATTTAAAATGTTAAAAAGACAGGTCCTTAGTCACACTAGCCCACATTCAAGTGTACAACTGCTGTATGTGGCTAGTGGTTACTGTCCTGGATAGCCCAGAAATACAAACTTGCTGTTACTGTAGAAGTGGATTGCAGTGCTCTAGAATTATAAACAGGATCTCAGAGGGACCTAACAAAACCTCAGAAGTTTAGTTCAATCTCTTTATTCTGCAGTAAGGTAACTCACACAACTAGCTAAAAGCCATGCCAAGACTCCAAGCCAGTCTCTTGGCTCCACATCCTATGCTCTGTCTCCTATACACTAGTTCCAATCTGCTTCCTATTTCAAAGCTTCCTTTATTTCTTCCTCCAGAGACACTCCATGTGGGCATAAACATCCTTCTCCTTTTCTAAATCTAAACTTGAAGAGCTATTTAACCTACCTACATGTACCTCACACAATCATATTTGTCCATTCCCCCAAATTCCCCTTTTCTTTTCTTTTTTTTTTTCAAATTCCCTTTTCTTTATTGGTAAATTATCTTATTTTAAACCAACTTCTCAGGTCTTTCTTTCAAACTTCTCAGGCGAACAGAAATTATTCTTTACAACAATTTCAACTGCCCTACTACTCCAAATAGAATGGGTTCAGTCACCACCTTGGGACCAGAAAAATCACCACCCTCACTTTTTTTCTCATTACCCAGTCTTATCCACCCTCACTGAATGACTGTGTTTTTTATTCCTTTTTTAAAACCATCTACCACGTCTTTATCCTTAGGATACATTTCAGCACCTATATCAAGATCTGTCCTATCTTTCTGCCTGCAATAATTGCTTTCAAATTCCATCGTGCCTGTCAATAACCCACAGAGCATGATTTCCTAGGCCCTTTTCTCTCTAGGTGCCGTGTCCACTCCCTATTCAGTGCCTAGGGGCTTATTCCTTTGTGGGATGCCTTCTTTACTATCATTACCCTCATGTCAACATACTACACTTCATCCTCTTTGCTCTCCAAAGAATACTGCTAGCAACTCTAGAGTTCCCACACAGCCTGGAACTAGAGGTAGGCCCTTAAATATCAACCTTATTTTTGAATTTAATAATAACATGCTGTTACCCGATGATGGCTCACTCTTTGGTGAAAAAGGGAATTAACATTTATAGAACTTCTAGCTAGGAATTATCAAGATCTCATTCAATACCATAATCTGAATTAGAAGAATTATGTGTATTTGAGACATGAGGAAACCAAGGCTCATACTGGTTAAATAACTTAACCAAACTCTTACAAACAACGATGGGGACAGCAAGAATACAAATTAAAGTCTGACTCTAACACTATGTTACCTTCCTTACCTACCATCAGTTTGTTCTATTCCTGTTCCAAGATGATAAAGCTTTAAGAGAAAAACAAAGAGTCATATCGCCCTACTGCAGACTTTGCCATCCAGTTTCAATTAATCTCTTTCTACTACCCATCTATCCTTTTACTGAAATCTTACTGATTGTCTGGCAACCTTCCTCATGATGACTGGTATAAATACATTCCCTTTTCTCCACTTGAGTCTCCAAGTGCAAATGACTATCTTTATTTCCAACAAATGACCTCTCCTCCAATTTGCCAAAGAAACAGAATCAGCCAAGATTAACTTCTTGGTTAATTTCTTTTGGCATTTTTTTTTTTTTTTTGGCTCCCAACCTATATTTCTTACTTAAACATTTCCAATTTCTTTCTTCCTATTGGCTTTTCTTTTCCTTGTTCTTCAAAGATATACTAGTTTCTTCTATCTAGAAAAATAAAACCATATTCCCTCCCTACCACTTTTTGCTTAAGAAGAGATAGTTTATGACACTGTTTCATCCTAACTCTTTATCCAGCATGCTGACCCCAACTCCTCTATCTCTGTAACAGTGTCATTAATATTCCTAATAGTCGAGGCCTCACATCCCTGGAATCAACTTTTATTTGTATATTTTCTTACTACCCCAATTATCTTTAATCTTGCTTTCTAGTATCTCCTGAGTCTAACAACAGTACCTAGTATTTAATAAATATTTGTTCCATGCACAAATAAATTAGCCCTTAATTATTGGCTAGCTCATATTTTTCACTTATAAATAATGATGTTTTTCTTAATAAGCCAAATAAAATCTTTCTCATACATCCTGTGCATCTCTTGATCCCTTACCTAGTATAGTACTATGCTTAAAACATTCAAATGAGCAATTCACAAAAAGAAGAGGCAAACTATAGAAGACAGATGCTACATTTGAACTCAGTAGGTAGAGAAGTGGAGGTATCAAGAGCTTCCAAATGCCAATGAACAGAACACAAAAGAACTATGACCCACAAGATATTTAAAGAAAGAAAGAAACCTAGTATTATAAGTGTCCAGAGGTATTTTCCATTAAAGGTTAGAGATTGTGACCTGTGGCGTAGCTTCTTGAACTCAAAACTTCTCATACATTTTCAAAATAATCTGAAAGGAAATGTCATTAAAGCAGAACTCATAAACTTTCCCCAATCCTTCCAACTAGAAGTTACAAGTAAATCTTCCTTCTTTAAATTCCTATAGTATTTTGCATGGGCATGATGGTTTACGCCTATAATCCTAGCACTCTGGTAAGCCGAGGCAGGTGGATTGCTTGAGCTCAGAAGTTCAAGATCAATCTAAGCAAGAACAAGACCCTGTCTCTACCAAAAAAAAAAGAAAGAAAAGAAAAAACTAGACCAGCATTGTAGTACATGCCTATAGTCCCAGCTACTGGGGAGGCTGAGGCAAGAGGACTGCTTGAGCCCAAGAGTTTGTGGTTTCTGTGAGCTATGATGCCAGGGCACTCCACCTAGGGGTAAAGAGTCAGATTCTGTCTCAAAAAAAAAAAAAAAAAAAAATTAGGCCAGGCATGATGGCTCATGCCTGTAATCCCAACACTCTGGGAGGCCAAGGTGGGCAGATGACCTGAGCTCACAAGTTTGAGACCAGCTTGAGCTAGAGCAAGACCCCATCTCTAAAAACAGTCAGGCATTGTGGTGAGTGCCTATAGTCCCAGCTCCTAGGGAGGCTGTGTCTGAGGTTGCTGTGAGCTATGAAACCACAGCACTCTAGCAGGGAGCAATAAAGCAAGATTCTGTTTCACACACAAAAAAATTAATTAAAAAACAAATTCTGATAGAATTTTGAGGTTTATCATTTTTAGTACTTACCATTTAAAGAATGTTTTTACAACGTAATTATTTTATTAAAATAACTTCCCTATTAGACTGTAACCATCTTTTTCTTTTTGTTAAGACAGAGTCTCACTTTGTCCCCCTCAGTAGAGTGCTATGGCATCACAGCTTACAGCAACCTCGAACTCTTGGGCTTAAGCAATTCTCTTGCCTCAGCCTCCCTAGGAGCTGGGACTACAGGCACCTGCCACAACACCTGGCTATTTTTGTTGTTGTCATTGTTGTTTAGCAGGCCGGGGCTGGGTTTGAATCCACCAGCTGGGGAGCCTGTGGCTGGCGCCCTAACCACTGAGCTATGGTTGACCCTAGACTGTAACAATCTTTGGTTCAGTTTGCTGTTCGCAGTTCTCAAGCACTCTAGTACAAAATCTTTCAAAAAGCAGGTATTTCTTTATATACTGAAGAATGAGGAAAGGAATTATAGATGTTGCTCAGCATAATCATGGATTTAGGCAAAGGTATTACAATATAACGGCTGGGAACACAAGCAATGGAACAGGATCTGACAAGTTCCTTAACTTTTCTAAGCTCCAAAATGAGGTTATTGTACAATTTAATAAAGTAGTATATGTTAAACTAACAGCAAAAAGTCTGCCATAAAATAAATAGTGATAATGAAAGGATCTTAAATTTATTAAAATCTGTTTGTCTTTTAGCAAAAGAAGAAGACTAAAGTCATTATTCTGTAGCACTATGAATTAAAAAAAAGAAATACATATTTTTTAGACTGAAGTGAAACAAGTATAACAAAAGATCAATTAAAAAGAAAAAAGTTAAAGGGAAAATCTTATTTCAATGTAACTGAATGACACCAGATTAGATTTACATACTATCTTTACATTTGTCTAATATGTTGTCATTATTTTTAATAACCCTTTCTAATTCACGTATTGGTGACCCAAACTGGAAAATAAACTTTCCTAGAGAATTGGATTTCAAACAACTAACAATTTGTTTCCCAAATATCTCAGATTTATATTAATATAAATATATTAATAGATTTATATCTCTCCTTTATATCTCTCCCATATTTATATCTCTCCTTCTGTGATATTATATATTTAATTAATAAATATATTAATATATTTATATCTCTCCTTCTGAGATATTTCAACCAGTTAACAATTTGTTATGTTTATATCTCTCCTTCTGAGATATTTGTGACATTAATTATATAATTATTAAAAAGTTAATTAACTTTTTAATTCCTTGTTTAAAAAAAAGCAAATTCAAAACTACTTAGGCAGAATGTATTTTAAAAGATTTTTCAAACAATTCATACAGTGTTTCATATTCCTTTTAGTCTTGTCAGAATCAGGTAATGACAAGTTATTTTGTTCACCCCATATTAATCACTTCACTTAAATGAGATCAAACATTTTATACATGCCTATCAGTTATATAAAACCAAAATACAGAACTTTAGACATAATTCTTCAGAAGCTGGCAGATACCTCATTATAATACATTACTAACCAATAACCTCAAGTACAAATAGAAGAATGTACTAGATAATGAATAGGGTAGTAAAAAGACACTAAAACAAGATGATGATAGCATATGTCTAAAAATTAGATTGAAAATGAAATGATCTAAGTAACTCAGTATAAATTATATACCTAGCAGAATGTTTTTCAATTTACTCTTTCCTTCCTTTGGTCTCACTGCCCTCACTTTTTAAAAACAATTTCTCTAAAACATTTTTCTTTTCTCTCTCTCTCTTTCTTTCTTTTAAGAGACAGGGTCTTGCTCTGATACCTAGGCTAGAGAGCAGTGATGTGATCACAGCTCACCGCAACCTCAAACTCCTGGGCTCGAGGGATCCTCCAACTCAGCTTTCCGAGTAGCTAGGACTACAGGTACATGCGACTGAGCCCAACTAATTTTTAAAAACAATTTTTTTATAGAGACATGGAGGCGGGGGGTGGGGGTCTCACTACCAGCTTAGGTCTTGAAATTCTGGCCTCAAGCAAACCTCTCACCTTCGCCTCCCAGAGTGCTGGGATGACAGGTTTGAGCCACCATTCCCAGACTTATTTATGTCTTAACAGTTTCTTTTATTTTAACGCCTAAAGAAAAATTGAAAATTCTCATCAGAATCGAATAACTTCTACAGAATGAACGCTTTATTCTGAAAAAAAAAGTCTTTAGGAATTTTTTCTATGTTGTCTTTCATTGATCTCAAAACAATCACACAAATTTTCTACAAATGAACTCAAAAGTGTCTCTCACATGTAAATGGAACAAATGATAAAAGCTATATGTTTTCCTGAATGGCGGAGTACTTTACTCTGCTATTAAGAAAGTATTACTCACCACCACATGCACTGAAGTCTAGACTTCTCTAAAATTATAAATTGCTGTCAGGGAGTGCAGACAGAAAATTTGGTACAATTTTACTCTTTTAAAAAGCAAAGTATGTCTTAAAGGAACTTACAATAATTCTCTTTTTAAAATAACACTTCATCATACTAACTACAAAAATTTGAGATCTTTTATGACACATTTTATTCAGAACACCTGTTATTCTCGTATTAATACTTATTTTTCCAACCTCCAAATGTGGCAATAAAACTAAGAAATTAACCTTAAGCAAATTCTTCTGCTTCAAGGCAATGATTTTTCCACTTACACAAACATATTTTCAGTTTCACACTTCTGTATTGTTGCCAGAGATGTGGGGGTGACTTGAAAAACACACATGAAGAAAATCAGAATAATGCTAATTTAAAAGGAAAGAAGAAAAGAAAACTCAATTGCAATTCATTTACTAGCAATTTTGGGGTTCCTGTACATTCCTTTGGTTCTTCCCTTCCACAACAACAACCAAGAAACAGTATGTTATTACCTGTCTCTATGAAACAGAGTATCAATTCAGCAATACTTCTAAAGTTACTATTTTCTTTTTTTTGGAAAGCAAACTTGACAATACATTGAAAGAAATGTACAAACCTCGGAATGTTCATCTCTCTCATCAATAAGTCTTTTTAGGTGTAAAGCCATATTTTTCAAGAGTGGTTCTATGTCCTCCTGAGATAGATCAGTCACTTCCATCCACTGAAGATCGAACACATTTTCCTGATTATGGGTAACCTTTAAAAAATCAACCAAAAAAATAGCTAATATTCAAAAATCTATTTTATTATCGTATAACACTAGCTCAAATATAGTATCTCACATAATAAAAACATGAAAAGTCAATATGATATTTAAAGAGTATTTAAAATTAACAATAAAAACACTACAACTAAAAACTTCTAATTTTTAAATAAATTTAACATTCATTTTCTAGTCAAAAAATATTTAGTCCAAGGCATTCCTAAGGGAAAGTAATACTGATATATCTGACAACTATTTTAACAAAATCAATTCCACTTTTCTTTAGCTAAGACTTTTATTTTACTTGAATCCAAAAGTAAGAGGTTTTAATATTGTAGGATATATGTTATTATATTTGTATATTTGGAATAGGTAAATCTTTACAGATTCTAATGATCACCCTGTTGTGAACCTTAGGAGAATGGATCCCAATATAAAGATATTTGTAAGAATGGAAAAGTTATACAAGTGAATAACTTATTTCTTGCTGTGATTCTGTTATGTTGCTTTAACTTTCCCAATAAACAGCAAAAGTCAGCTCAAGGATAGTGGCATATTTAGTAACTTGGAATACTTAGCATTTCTTCAGAATGAAATACAACCATATGGCTAGCACAAATATATATAAAGAGTACCAGTAAAACTGTATCTTGTAAAATACTAATATGCTTATTGTTGACAAAAATTTAAGAAATATGAGCTCTATAAATATTAACTAAGACAAAAGTTGATCTATGGAATACAAAGTCATCTAAATAAAGAATACTTTTAAGTACTATACATTTTCACTATTTAAAAAATTTCTCCTTTTTTCTTATCAACATGCAAAATTTAACATATAATTTTTTAATTATATTTATTTATTTAATATATGTTTATTATTTTTTATTATAATTCTAAAAAATTTTTATAATAAGACTAAAAGCCAAGAATAGACAGATGCAGAAATAGCTTTTAAAATCAATCTTAACATATAAATTTTATTATCCTTAATTATTTGACACTGTACCATGTCTTAGATTTAAATCATATATGACAAATCATTAATGGTTTTATAATTCAAGTAATATCTTCAATAAAAATTATGCTATGTCTACTCATTGAAAAGAAAATCACTGGAATGACTAAGCTGATTATCTTACCTCATATTGTTTTAAATTATAAGCACTATTTCACTTTCAGTTATTTCTATTCACTAACCTATTCATTCTGTTCTAGCGAGGACAGATACTTCATCCCTCAAATAACATTTTTTGCCTGTCTCTACAGATAAAGCCAATAAGAGCACATTTGTAGTTAGCATTGTGCTGTTGTACAAGATGATTCACTTAAGAAACTATCTCTAAAGAGAAGACAATTTGCATAAAAGCAGGGTTCATTTTTATTTTATCTCGATATGCTTGCTTAATGTCATGACTTTAAGTATTTTGGAAGATACACAAACACACTACTGCACAGTTTCATAAACAGTACATTAAAAAATGTACACAGGTTATTACCTCTTGTATATGTGCGGCAACTGCTGCTTTTGTATCAAAATCTAAACCTTGAATTCTTTCAATGAATTCTTCTTTTTTCTGACACTAAAATAAATGAATAAAATAAACATTCATACTTTGTACAGTCCTTAATATGACTAACCTTCATCAAGCTTGGCTATGTTTTTGAACAGTACAGTAGGGGTTTTGTTTTGCATTAAAATTATTTAATATGCTCACCTAATAGACAGCAATTTAGAAATATGTATATTTTTAAAAGGCAATGAAAATCTATACTATTTTTATGCTGAAAAGTTCTAAAGTGGGAAACCATTACACAACCCATCTGAGGTCAGTACAATATTATTATGCTAACTTTACAAACAGAGAAGTAAAGAATCAAGAACTTGTTTCAGAGAGGATAGGTTACTTGCCAAAAAACACAGTGAGTCAGTGGCAGAAATCGGAATACAGCCAAAATGCTCAGTCAGTCCCTGGCTATCACCAAACAACACAGCCTTTCTTCTTGGAAAAAAAATGTTTAAGCAATTTTTATTTCAAGCTTACAACTCATTCTCACATCTTCATTCCATCAATCTTAATAAAAGAAACCCACTTTTATAGCTCAGTTCAACATTTATAGGGGAATACAATAAATACATGACTTGTTTCCAACATAGCAAAAATTTACCAGGGGCAAAATTTAAGAAGGTATACACAAGTACACATGTAACCAAATAGAATAAAGGCAGCAATTCTTCATTGTATAACCTTTTAAAAAAGCTTTATATAAATTAAAATTATTAAAATGGAAATCTAAAATCTTTTTCCTTCCCATCAGTATTAACAGTTTAACATGCATCTTAACCTCTAACACCATCTACATCTCTTACGCTGCAATCCAAGAGCTGTATTCTTGGAGTTACTAAAGGAGAAGGGCACACAAAATAGAAAGCGCTGCCTTGTCTAATTTAGTTCCATCTCCTGGGCCAATTACTGCAATACGAGTGAAGACAATATACTCACAAAAAGAAAAACTGGCTCTTTGATCACACAATGTACAAGGCTCTGATTTATATTCTACATATTTATCTTATCAAATTATAACACTCTATTTCTACTGTCATACTATTTAAGCACATTTGCATCAGTGCAGAAAGTTCTATATCCTGTAAAAAACAAAAGTATTCAGATAGCGTAGTTAAAACTAAATTACCAGAATGTATACTTTCTGATTGCGATTACAAAGTCAGAGTTTTGGGGTGGATAGGAAAAAAATATGTGGTTTAAAAACAAAAATTTGTCTAGCAAACAGTATTTGACAGGCCTTATGAGAATAATTAAGAATTACTTTTAACTCTAAGTTTGTAGCTGTACATTTATAAACTATTTTAAATTGCACATGAACTTTATGGCCACCCTGTATAAAATAACTAGTTTTTCAAGTTTATGTTGTAACCTTAACTTTTTAATGCTTCCAAAATTGAACTATACATTGTTTCTGAGAATTTATTCTCAGAATATAAAATGGCAGTTATAAAAGGTAATGACTATGACTCACCAAAGACTCTTCCAACTAAACTGCCGTATCTTTCACTGCTGTCAGTTTAAAGATACACTTCCCTCTTCCAAGCCCCCAGCAGTCTCAATATAAATAAGTAAGAATTTTTCCTTTACCCTTAAATACAGTTTCTACTAAATCTCATCTTATTTTAGACCCTAAGAGTTTTAAGAATTCTAAAAATGTTTTATAAATTCATAAAGAATGAACAATAAAATTCACAGGATTTTGGAGGATAAAAAAGACAAAGACTGCCAAGATAAAAGAGTTAAGATTAAAACTCTGAAGTTGGATAATCAGATCAAATGTTCTATATCAGTGCTGTGTAACAGTAATCACTAGCTACATGTGGCTTCTGAGAATGTGAAATGTAGCCAGTGAAACCAAGAAACTGAAATTTTATTTAATTATAATAAATTTTAATTCAAATAGCCACGAGTGGCCAGTGGCTACTAAACTGAATAACCTAGCACTAGAGCATATTAAAGCCTGGTGTTTTAGAAAAGACAGAGGCTAGGCACAGCCTATAATTGCAGCATTTGCAGAGTCTGCGGGGGTTGGACTATTTGAGGCCAGGGGTTTCAAGACCAGCCTGAACAACACAGTGAGATCCCATCTCTACTAAAAATAGAAAAAAATTAGCCACGTGTGGGGGCACTTGCCTGTAGTCCTAGCTAAGGCAGGAGGATTGCTTAAGCTAAGAGTTTGAGGTTGTGGTGAGTTTTGATGATGTCACAAGGCAATAGACTAAGACTTTGTCTCCATAAAACAAACAAACAAACAAACAAACTATATATATAAAGTTTACTTCCAGCTATAACATCAGTTGGGAAGACTAAAATAATCATCAGGAAATTGTTTTTTCCACTTAAAATTAAGTAGTGAAATTTATAAGGTCATAGAGCCAAGAAATTTCCAAACAAACACTGCAAAAATTTTCCCTTCTATTCCTAATGATTTTGCTTGGGAATTTCACAACTATCTCAAGGCTAGGATGGAGAGCCACGCATCAGTGAAAATTCAATGCTCAGCACTTGGTTTGGGAGACTCGTGTTATTCATTGAAAAAGACTGATGGAATTTGATTGGTTTACTCCGGCAATAATAAAAATGCTCAAGTTCTGGCCTTAAATGGTTTTCTTCATATTCGAAGTTATTCCTGTGGCCTTCATTTAGGTATGATCAAGGGTTAAAAAGTCTTTTTTTTTTTTTTTTTGAGACAGAGACTCAAGCTGTCCCCCTGGGTAGAGTGCCATGGCATCACAACTCACAGCAACCTCCAACTTCTGGGTTCAAGATAGTCTCTTGCCTCCACCTCCCAAGTATTTGGGACCACAAGTGCCCACCACAACGCCTGGCTATTTTTTTTGGTTGCAGCCATCATTGTTGTTTAGCGGCCTGGCTGGATTCAAACCCACCACCTTAGGTGTATGTGGCTGGTGCCTCAGCCACCTGAGACACAGGCACTGAGCCAAGGGTTAAAAAGTCTTAATTACAATTTATTCTATGAAGTAAGATCTTTGATAGCCGTTACCTTTACTATTTCTGAATGCTGCTTCCTCTTAAGAATTTCACAATTTTTTCTTCAAAACAAATTGTTTTTTCAATTTCCCAATGCTTGTTTTTAAAAAATTTTTCTTTTTAGGAATATATCTTTTGAAACCTATGGCACCCTGAATTCCTGTACTGTAATATATTGGCAACCTTTATCTTGCTATTTCTACTATATAATTATTACAGATATCCAGGCATCGTAGCAGGTTCCTCTAGTCCCAGCTACCTGGAAGGCTGAGGCAAAAGAATTGCTTAAGCACAAGAGTTTGAGGTTGCTGTGATCTGTGACACCATGGTACTCTACCGAGAGCTACATAGTGAGACTCTGTCTCAAAAAAAATAAGAAAAGAAAAGAAAAGAAAAAAATTATTACAGATAAAATTGACCCAGATAGGGAAAACATATTTATACCACTTTTATATTATACTAGAATTTTAAGCTATTCAACTACTAGATAAATTAAATATTGTATAACAGAAAGGATGTTCTAAAAAGCATTCTAATAATACCTATTAGCTGAAGTTTTACGTTAATAAATGATGACACACCTTGGCTTCCTCAAGTTTCCTGTCCAAAAGCACATTTTGGCTCTTCGGTATCAGCAAAAATTTCTAATTATTCATATAATTATTCATAATATAGTCACAGCTTAAGGCCAACAGGAGATTCTGATTGTTACCCACATCACTAATTAGCACTAGTGGCTCCAAAATGCTTATAGGATGAAATCTAAACTTTATCTTAAAGTAGCAAATCCAGTCTTGCATAACACAATCTATGTAAACTCTCTGATCTAAAATGTCTTGCCTTTCTCCCCCATGAATGTTACATTCCAACCAACTTGAGGTTCCCTGAATATATTTTTTTCTCAACATCTCTGCTCTAATTTCAAATATTACCTCACCAGAGGCCTTCTCTAAGAACAAGCACATTTAAGAAAATACTTCTATGCATATCAATGTATCTTGCCCTATGATAACTATGACCCTGTACTGTTATTCTTTGATCTGCCTCTAAAATTTAAATTCCCTAGGCTTTGTATCTTTTTTCTAAAATCCAATCTAGAAAATATTGGTTCTGATTTCAAAAGTACTAGTGACCTATTATTTTTTTTTAATGCTTACTATGTAACAGGTGGTACAATAAAGGTATATACAGTAATCTACAGTACTGTTTGGAGAATGTCCGAGATCCACATCCAGTCCTCTAAATCCAAATCCATCTATAACAGGTGCTATACTCCTTTGAATCTGGGACATCTTCCAAACATAATTTTATAGACTATTCTTCACTAGCTCTAGCCACAGTTTCCTAAAGTTACTCTTATCAAATTAATAACATATTTTGCTTATTGTCTCTTTGAACTATTCCCAAGTTAAATAAATGATAAAGTTAATAAACTCAACCTTAAAGCTTACCTCCATACTATCCTGTTCTATCTATCTCAAAAGCAACCTTTATTTTCCAGTTTACATTATAATGTCATCCTCATGCATATTTATATAATTATCCTTTCATATAATTTACTCATCCTCTACTTTCCCTCATACCTTGGTCTACCGAGCTATTTTCCCTCTCTTTTCTAATTACCATTAGAAACAATATCTACCTTACAAATCCTTTCCAGAATATGTGAATCTAAAGTACAGGAAAACATAACAAGCTCATACATTTGTAGGAAAAAGTTAAGAATACTTAACATTATAGAAAAAGCTTCTTGTTTTAATAACATGCCAAAATTACAAATATTATATTACTTTTAGAAAGTAATCTTCCTGGAGGTGCCTGTGGCTCAAAGGAGTAGGGCGCTGGCCCCATATGCCGGAGGTGGTGAGTTCAAACCCAGCCCCGGCCAAAAAAAAAAAAAAAAAAACAGGAGAAAAAAAAAAAAACAAAAAAAGAAAGTAATCTTCCTTACAAGGCCAGGTGTATTTATACATTTTTTTGCTTTATTCAGCATTTAGCTGAGCCTCGGAGCAAGGCTGTAGTGAGTTATGATCAAGATCCTACATTCTAGTCTGGGCAACAAGGTACCTTATCTCTTAAAGAAAAAAAAAATGTCCATTTCATGACTCTGCTGTATTTCACTAGTAAAGTAAAATGTTAGAAGTTATCTTGGCTCGGCGCCTGTGGCTCAACTGGCTAAGGCGCCAGCCACATACACCTAAGGTGGCGGGTTCGAATCCAGCCCGGACCCGCCAAACAACAATGATGGCTGCAACCAAAAAATGGCCAGGCATTGTGGCGGGCGCCTGTAGTCCCAGCTACTTGGCAGGCTGAGGCAGGAGACTCGCTTAAGCGGAGGTTGCTGTGAGTGTGATGCCATGGCACTCTATCCAGGGGGATAACTTGAGGCTCCGTCTCAAAAAAAAAAAAAAACAGAAAAATGTCTCCAGGCATGGTCCGTGTGCCATAGCCCCAGCTACTTGGGAGACTGAGGCAAGAGGAGGACTGCTTAAGCCCAAGAGTTTGAAATTGCTGTGAGCTATAATGACATCACAGCACTATAGCCAAATGACAGAGTGAGACTGTCTCAAAAAAAAAAAAAAGGCCTGGTGAAATGGCTCATGCCTGTAATCCTAACACTCTGGGAAGCCAAAGCAGGTAGACTGCTGGAACTCAGGAGTTTGAGACCAGCCCAAGCCAGAGGAAGAACTCATCTCTAGAAAAAATAGCTGGGCATTGTGAAGGGCACCTGTAGTCTCAGCTACTTGGGAGGCTGAGGCAAGAGAATCAATTAAGCCCAAGAGTTTGAGGTTGCTGTGAGCTATGATGCATGGCACTCTACTGAGGGCAACATAGTGAGACTCCATCTCAAAAAAAGAAAAGTCATCCAAATATAAAATATTCTTGCTAAATTTCTTTAGGAAACATCCATTGGCAGACTTGGAGGCTTTGGTTAACCTATTAAAGGTTTAGTTAGAAAAAAGAACATTATTTCATGCCATCCTTCTTATTTTCTAGCATCTGGGAATACTATCAAGTAAGTTATAGAAAAGAGAAGGGGGTGAGGGGACTTTTATAGTCTTTTTTATTGCCCCTACAGATAATAATGACAACGGTTTATTTAAAATTTTGAGGCTTTTTCCCTACTCTTAAGAAAAGTTCCTTGGTTCTGCTCCATTCCTACTGTCAATTTTAATAAGCAATAATAACTAAGCAATAACCAGTAGTAATGACCAAATTTATATAGTCAGTATTTTACCAAAATGTACATAACATTCACCAACAAAGGTTATTTTAAAAAGCAAACATAGGATATAAAGACTGCAAATAATTAAGAGTAGTGGTGTTTCTAACTCGGAATTGATGATCACATTAGAACATCAATGACTATAAACATCATATTTAACTTAGTATTTAATCACCTGAGAAGTAAACACCTGCACAGCATTAATAATATACATTGTGTAAGAATATAGCTCCTAAGCAGTCAGCTGTACAAGCTGGAATATGTGATTTCTGGGATATATAATTTCTAACATATGTATGTAAAAGACTACCAGTGGTCACATTATTTGTTTACAAGTAACCTTTTACAAAGAAGATAGATGGTTTAAATAAGCATTATAATCACTCACTGGAACAATGGATGAGTAAGTGAAAAATCAGCATAGAATATAATAGGTTTCGAAGTCAAATGGGAGTGGAGGCTGGTCCGAGACTAGTGAGTTATCTCAATTGTTCACAGTGAGTTACATGCTGAAATCCTTGATCTAGGCTTTCCCCCCTTCTCACTACTGCACTTGACTAGTTTTTAACAATAAAAAATAAATTAAAAAATTTAAAAACTAGACCTGAGGTTCAGCTCCTATAGCTCAAGTGGCTAAGGCACCAGCCACATACACCAGAGCTGGTGGGTTCGAATCCAGCCCAGGCCTGCCAAACAACAACAACTACAACCAACAAATAGCTGGATGTTGTGGCAGGCACCTGTAGTTCCAGCTACTTGGGAGGCTGAGGCAAGAGAATCGCTTAAGCCCAGGAGTTGGAGGTTGCTGTGAGCTGTGACGCCATGGCACCCTACCCAGGCGACATCTGGAGTCTCTGTCTCCAAAAAAAAAAAAAAAACTAGAGCTGAATCTCAGTGCTTTGCCCCAGTAATAATGTGACCTAAATTTAGAGTGATCATCCTAGCTTGCCTGGGACTATTCCAGTTTACACATGCAGTTCCACTGTAATTATTAACAGCACCTTCTTTGACTTCCCTAAGTCCCTAAGTTGGAAAATATCTGAAGTATAACCCTACTTAAACACAAATCTCCTTACCTGAAAAAATATTTTATGAGAAAACCTATGTAAGGAATAATACCTGCCACAATGTAAGCATTTAATAAATCACAGCTTCTATTATTATAGTCATTGATCAAAAAGAAATACAATAATAACCCAGATGCCTAAAACATCTTCCTAAAGTTCTCCCTCCTCTTTTCTTTTCCAGAGATAGGGTACTGCTCTGTTGCCCAGGCTGGAGTTCAGTAGCATGATCACAGTTCACTGTAACATGAAACTCCTGGGCTCAAGAGATCCTCCTGCCTCAGTCTCACAAGTAGCTGGCACTGCAGTAGGTATACACCACTATGCCTGGCTAGTTTTTCTATTTTTAGTAGAGACAGGTTCTTGCTCTTGCTCAGGCTAATCTCGAACTCCTGAGCTCAAGTAAACTGCCCACCTCAGCCTCCTAGAGTGCTAGGATTATAGCTGTGAGCCACCATGCCCAGACAGTTATATATTCATTTAAAATTTTCTAACACAAACTTTGAAAACCAATGGTACAACCGTAAGACTTTCAGAACTAGAATCTAAAAAAAACATATAAAGAGGCTATTAAAATGAAATCATGAAGAAATATTTTAACTTACCTGAACTGCACAACCCAGTAAAAGTAAAAGCAGCTTTTTAACTTCTTCTGTGCCTTGTTCTGAAATAAAAACAATTACTAAGTATAGCTTTTTGTTCTGTTTCAACTCTTTCTCATATAGGAAGAATCACTTCTAGATGTCATGTTTAGTCTATAAGCAAAAGCAGCTATGTATGTGTGCAATGTGGTAGGGTAACAGCAGAAGAAGTGGGCAAGGGCCTCAATTGGGAAGGGCTGCAGGATATAAACAGTGTTCAAGGCTCAGTGCAGTAAGTATGCTAACTATGGATCCATCCCTTTTCCATAAATGCTTCTACACCAGCCTACCAAATCAAGAGCCTACCGCATTATGCTGGTACAGGGGCATGGCACAGAGGCAATCAAAATAGCTCCTAAGAGGTCTGTTTCCTCTTAGGCCTATTAGTGTTTTCTTACTAAAACACAGATTGTATGATTCCTCCACCTATAAAACTTAAACGGTTTCCCACTGTGTAAGTTCACAAGGATCAGAATCTTAAACGCATTATCATGAGGTTGTTAAAATAAAGGTATACAACAAGCTATGTGAAAATTAATGATCTGTAACAGAAATGGAGAGACTATATAGACTTAATGTAAAATATGTCTGTCCTCACCCACAATTTACAAATATTCTAAGCTTATTTTCTCCTTACAAAATAGAACATCACTTTTAACTTATACAGAAGTATGAAAAAAAAGAAAACCCACTGCAAGCAAGTTCCTGGTAAGTATTATAGGATGGCACACAGATAAGGCATCATTGTTACAGTATGTTCGTTTTAATACTTACCAGAAAAGGGATTTTTGCCAATGATTAAGACATTTGGCAAAGACATCATGATCAATTGCTGCAAAGTCTCCTACAAAAAGATATCCAACAGTTGTTATTTTGGTAATGTTGACTAGGTAATTACTCATCAAGTGGTAACTTTGATTTTGTACATTTTTCTCTAGGTATGCCATACTACAACTAAAATAATATGAAAAAAAGATGTAAGGTCTTACATTTAAACTAATGAATAACTAAAATAATAATACCAGACAGACTTAAGTTAATGTGTCAAATGCCTACAATAGAAAAGTAACCAACTCAACTGGTCTACTATATTATTTAGAAGTCTGAGATTTCAGTTGCTAGAAAGTTAAGCAACATTCCTCAATGAAATATGGAGCATGTGCACTCTTTGTTCTTTTTGTTATTTCTGTGGGAACTAAAAATGTCAACTGATATTAAAATTGATAAAGCTTCTTCAAGATGGATGAAGCAAAGAAATAAAAATTTAAAAAAGCTAATTACTCTATAAAAATCCTATCTTATAGCCGGGTGTGGTGTCTCACACCTGTAATTCAAGCACTCTGGGATGCCGAGGCAGGCGGATTGCTTGAGCTCAGGAGTTCAAGACCAGCCTGAGCAAGAGCAAGACCCTGTCTCTACTAAAAATAGGAAAACTAGCCAGGTGTTGTAGTGGGCACCTGTTGTCCCAGCTACTAGAGAGGCTGAGGCAAGCTCATTGCTCAAGCCCAGAGAGATTGAGGTTGCTATGAGTTATGATGCCAGGGTACTCTACCCAGGGCAACAAATTGAGACTCTGTCGCAAAAAAAAAAAAAAAAACCTACCTTATGATCATTTCATGAAAGTGAATTCTTTCTCAGTGAATCTTTATTTCTCTCCTCTATGTACAACAGATGTTTAACTACCTTTGACTCTTGTTAAACTTTAGTGACAAGAATGTATGTACATTCTGACAGTGTAACATAATGCAGAAAGAACTGAATACACTGAAATTATTCATTTTAGGTAACACATCAAGTGTACAACTTTTGTTTGGACCATCTTTTCCTTGAAATGAAGGAAGATATTGTGTCTACCATTACAACCATTGACACTGATGATATCCAAAGAGTCTGAGATAAATTAGCCTATAGGACAGATGGCTGCCATGTGCTATTACTGAAGCATTCCAAGATTATAGTAATGACAGTTTCTTTACAAACTGGCCTTTACTATATGTTCAGATACAACTCATTACTGAGGAATATGTTTTTGAATCCTTTATTTAACTTAATACTACGATGAAGAAACAATCCTGAAAAATAACTATGAAAAGTTAACTTGTACTGCTTTTTAATAATATGTAATTCTGGACTGACTAAAGCACTGCTTATAGTTAGTGGGTGGCATGACACTAAATGCTACTTAGAAATAATCTTTTCTCATAATTCTTTATAGATAACATATTAGAGAGTTACAACAATTTTTTTCCTTAGCATTAATTTGTTGGCCTTAAAAAAACCTATCACTATGGTTTAAATTTTTTTAAACTTAAAAATATCCTAGCACCTGGAGCAGACAAACAAGAAAATAAGTAAATAGATATTTTTCATGATAATCGCTAAGAATAAAAATATTGCACAAAATGTGAAAGAATACCAGAGGAGATGGAAACAATAAGATTGGTATTTTTTTAAAGATATTGCAAGCACTCAAATATAGACAATTTGAGTGTTTTTAAGGCCATTAAAGTAAAATTTCACTGAATATTCTAACATGAAGACAGTCCAGAAAGATATGGAGAACTATAATCATTAGAAAAAGGATAAAGGCCAAAGAAGATGAAATATTTGGGAGTTTACCTAACAAAGGACGTGCAAGATCTCTAATAAAGAGAACTATAAAACTCTAAAAAAAGAAATAGCTGAAGAGGTTAACAAATGAAAAAACATACCATGCTCATGAATGGGAAGAATCAACATTATTAAAATGTCCATATTACCCAAAGAAATATACAATTTTAATGCAGTCCCTTATTAAAGCGCCATTGTCGTACTTTAAAGATCTCGAAAAAAAATACTTCATTTTATATGGAATCAGAAAAAAAATCTCAAAAAGCCAAGATATTACTCAGAAATAAAAACAAAGTAGGAGGAATCACACTACCAGACCTCAGATTATACTATAAATCGATAGTGATCAAAACTGCACGGTACTGGCACAAAATCAGAGAGGTAGACGTATGGAATAGAACAGAGAACCAAAAGATGAACCCAGCTACTTACCGTTATTTGATCTTTAATAAGCCAATTAAAAACATTCAGTGGGGAAAAGATTCCCTATTTAACAAATGGTGCTGGGTGAACTGGCTGGCAACCTATATAAGACTGAAATGGACCCACACCTTTCACCATTAACTAAGATAGACTCTCACTGGATTAAAGATTTAAACTTAAGACATGAAACTATAAAAATACTAGAAGAAAGTGCTGGAAAAACAAAGAAGAAATGGGCCTGGGAGACTATTTTATGAGGAAGACCCCTGGGCAATTGAAGCAACACCAAAAATATATTACTGGGATCTGATGAAACTAAAAAGTTTCTGCACAGCCAAAAACATAGTAAGTAAAGCAAGAAGACAGCCCTCAGAATGGGAGAAGATATTTGCAGGTTATACCTCAGATCCAGAATCCACAGAGAACTCAAATATATTAGCAAGAAAAGAACAAGTGATCCCATCTCAGGGTGGGCAAAGGACTTGAAGAGAAACTTCTCTGAAGAAGACAGGTGCATGGCCTACAGACATATGAAAAAATGCTCACCATCCTTAATCATCAGAGAAATGCAAATCAAAACCACTTTGAGATATCATCTAACCCCAGTATGATTAGCCCACATCACAAAATCCCCAAACCAGAGATGTTGGTGTGAATGTGGACAAAAGGGAACACTTCTGCACTGCTGGTAAGAATGCAAACTAATATGTTCCTTTTGGAAGGATGTTTGGAGAACACTTAGAAATCTAAAAATAGACCTGCCATTCGATCCTATAATTCCTCTACTAGGTATATATCCAGAAGACCAAAAATCACTTTATAGAGAAGATATCTGCACCAGAATGTTTACTGCAGCTAAATTTGTAACTGCTAAGTCATGGAAGAAGCCAAGTGCCCATTGACCCACGAATGGATTAATAAATTGTGGTATATGTACACTATGGAATATTATGCAGCCATAAAAAGGATGGAGACTTTACCTCTTACATGTTTACATGGTTGGAGCTGGAACATATTCTTCTTAGCAAAGTACCTCAAGAATGGAATAAAAAGTATCCAATGTACTCAGTCCTACTATAAAACCAATTTATAGCTTTCATATGAAAGCTATAACCCAATTATAGCCCAAAAAGAAGGGGAAAGGGGAGAGGGTGGGAAAGTAAGAGGAGGGGGAAGAATGGGTGGAGGGAGGGTAATCAGTGGGACCAATCTTACAATTGGACACCTTAAATGGGTGAATAATATGGCTTGTGAATGATTATCTCAATAAGGTTGTTTAAAAAATACAAACTGGCAAAAAGTCCCAGGTTCTCTCTCCATTATCTCTAAAAATTACAAAAGAAAAAAATACAAAGAAAGCAGCAGTATACAATACAGAATTAGGCTGAGTTGACAACCTAAGACAAATCCAGAAATCCCTTTGCTTTTTACATCTTCTTTCTTGGAGATTCTTCCCTCTCCCTAAAGACAGTATGAAAAAAAATGTAGCATCATTCTAATAAGGACAAAACTGATGACAGCTGTCAAAATAAGTCACTTTATTACAATCTAGTCTTTTTTTAATTAAGTCATGCATACATAGATCATGAATACATTTATGCCATCATAAGATTCAATGTGTTGATTATTTGTACAAACTGGAATGCTGACATCCTACCTAGCAACATAGCCTTCACCACTTTTACCCAATTACAGGATTAAGACATTTATGCTCTACACCTGATAAATCCAACTTGTACTTGCAATATGTTCCATAGGAGTGATCCCCCTACCAACCCTCCCTCTATCATCCCACCCCCCTTCCCCTCTCCCTCCCCTTCCCTCATTCATCCTTAGGCTATAGTTATGTTACATTTTTTGCATGCATGTGTGAGTGATTGTAAATTGGTTTCACAGTAGTATTGTGTACATTGGATATATATTTTTCCATTCCTGAGATACTTTACTAAGAAGAATATTTTCCAGTTCCATCCATGTAAACAAACAAGAGGTAAAGTCTTCATTTTTTTAATGCTGCATAGTATTCCATAGTATACATATGCCACAATTTATTAATCCATTCATGGGTCGATGGGCACTTAGGCTTCCTTCCATGACTTGGCAATAATGAATTGGGCTGCAATAAACAATCTAGTGCAAATATCTTTATTGGCAGATGACTTTTGGTCCTTTAGATATATACCTAGAAGAGGAACTGCCAGATCAAGCAGGTCTATATTTAAGATCCCAGAGTGTTCTCCAAATTTCCTTCCAAAAGGAACATACCAGCTTGCATTCCCAGCAGCAGTGCAGAAGTGTCCCCTTTTCTCCACATCCACACCAACATCTGTAGTTCTGGGATTTTGTGATGTGGACTCTTACTGGAGTAAGATGGTATCTTAGAGTAGTTTTGGTTTGCATTTCTCTGATGATTAATGATGATGAGCATTTTTTCACGTGTCTGTAGGCCATGTGCCTATCTTCTTCAGAGAAAC